TTAAAAATAAAAAGCTCAACAAAGGTGATGATGATGCTATGATGCTGGATTGGGCTTCGTACTCCACTCAGCTATATATACTGATAATGCTTAGCCAACACAATGACTACTATGGGCCAGAGAAAGAAAAAGAGCATCAAAATACAAAGAAGTACAGCACCGTGCCGCCCTGCCAAAAAACTCGTCACATCCGCCCCACCAAACGAAAAGTTACCCATCAGCCCAGAGAAGTAACTTTGGCGAGAAAGCTTCTCTACTGTGAATCCTGACGCAGTGGCCTTCTTGATATTGCTCTTGACTTCCTTCTCAATTTCCAGTCCATTGCTACAGTAACTGAGCAAAGCATCGCAATATTCCTTGGCGAATTCGACGCAGTCGTTAAGCAAGGTTTCGTATCGATGGGGGGCCGCCCTCAAGGCAGCCAGGTCCAGCCCTGGRAGGGGGACGTCTGCGTACCTTCCAATGTAGTAAAATTTCTTTGTGTATTTTTCGATTTCTTCAAATACTTTTACCGACTTGGAGATCTTGTACATTCTCTCCTTCATGTTTTCAAAACGAAGTTCGAATTTCCGACAAAAGAGTTTTCCTGGAATCTTATAGGGGTTATCCTCCATCAAACCCTCATACAAAAGGTTGGTGTAAGGGTCTCCACACGGGACAATAAGTACGAATCCATGCCAGCCATGATCCACACAAACGAAAACATCGTAGTAGTTCTTTTCTCCCTGTTCCAACAGCTGCTTCTGTTTTTCCGAGTCTTCCCCCTTGTACGCAAGGACTACTTTGTGGTCGAGGTCGGATACCGAGTTCACGTAGTATGCCAAGCTTGGCTCGTAGGAGTGGACGCTTCTTTCTGACATCGTCTATAATCAATGAAATTRCAGCAATACAGTTCAAAAAAAGACTTACGAGAAACGCGCGTTTAGGGGCAGCCGGCTACAACTGACTCGGTTGTTGCAAGCCAAGATAAAAACATGATACAGTATTTTAATAAAGCGGCGCTTTGTCCGACAGGGTCACAGATCTCCATAAAGTCTTAGGGCCGCTAGGAAACTTTCTATCTTTTTTTTAAATTTTTTGTCTCTGTCATCATTCAATCAGTGGATCTCTTCGGCTTCTGACGTAATGTTTTCGCATTTCAGACAACATGTTATTATTAGAGTATCATTTCTTTGTTTAAGGTTTGCGCTCAGTTGCACATGAGAAGACATATGAATATGGACACAGCTCAAACAAAGAATCTTATTGTCAAGAAAATGACAAGTGGTCTGAAATGGGAAAACATTGCCCCAAGCCGAAGAGGTCTATTCGTGGGCTTCATAAACATATACAATCCCTTCCCTCTTAAAATCCTTGTAAAGATCTGACATCACTAAAGAAGTCAGATAACGCTGATAGCGCGTAAGATATATTGGTCTGCATGGATCACGCACTACCTTTTCACTCACTGAAGTCACRCATGCATTGGCAGAAATAGACGATTACGTAACGTGTCAGCATGAGTCAGAATGGCGTTTTCAACAACAATAAAAACAGATATAAAAAACGCGTTTCTTTAAAAACCAAAAGGAAAAAAGGAAAACTAGAGGCTATATATGCTTTCTAGTAAATATTTTCTCTTTCTTTTTCTAATTCATTATATTTAAGCCTTTATTACATGTAAAACTATATGCTCCATGCCGCAAACACTCGAAAAGCCATCCGTATTTTTTTACATCAAAGATTTTAGTAGTCAAAAAAATAAAATTTAAATGATTTCCAACTACGTCGAACTCAGTGGAATTACAAAAAGGAAATATTCTTAGTTTTTTGGGAGCAAATTCACGAAAAAGCGTTACATAAACTGACGAAAAGTGAAGACCTTAATTAAGAACGTCTCCATCTTTGTAGCCAACGCATTTAAAGTGAAACAAAAGGTGATTGATAAAAATACTGTACGATATTCAACTGGCAACATCTCAAACTATCAAAAATCATTTGTTTTACCTTGGTTAAAACGGGTCGCGATTCCTAATCCTCTTTTATCGAAGGATACTTATCGAAGGATACTTATCGAAGGATGGTACAAAGCGGCGAGAAAGGCGTCAAAATAAATTAATTCACTTCCAGGAAACCCGGAAGTGGAAATTAATATTCATGCTTTACTCAATCTTCGACCTTTATTTTCCTAAGACTTTTAAGATTTTAAAATTTGATAATTAAAGATATATAATATCGGTGTTATTTGAATAGTTTAGAATCATAAATAGTAACGAGTACGTTAAGTCGATTTGAATAATTTTAGCTGATACAAATTCAGTGTAATTTTAGTACACTTTGTGACACTAATTAATTTTTTCCTGTTGTTTGTTATTGCGTTACCACACGAAGGGACTAAGGGAAGGGTAAATGTCACGTCTCGCAATAACAGCGACGACAACAAAATTCTGAATGCACTGACTGGACTCTTCCACAGTCTCTCGCTCGTCCGTTCCGTCTCCACGCTTAGAGACTGTAACGGTACAATGACCGAAAGGACTCATGGGTCCCGAAAACTTGGACCCAGCGTGCTTTGGGAACCAAAATACTCGTCTACAGTCTCTCTCGTTTTAATATTTTCAAGATGGCGGCGAAAACGAGAGAGACTGTGGACGAGTATTTTGGTTCCCAAAGCACGCTGGGTCCAAGTTTTCGGGACCCATGAGTCCTTTCGGTCATTGTACCGTTACAGTCTCTAAGCGTGGAGACGGAACGGACGAGCGAGAGACTGTGGAAGAGTCTATGCACTGACTAGCCCCAGTCGTCTCTGTAATATACCGACCAAGCACCGCCGGTATATTAGAGAGACGACCGGGGACGAGTCAGGAAAATCATAGCGGCGGGAAGATGCATTAAAAATGCCGCACTTGGAGATAGCTTAGTCGCAAAAACTGAAATGCAGAAAAATTTTTGATTACTAACTCGTTGTATTAGCCATAGGTCGAGGAAAAAACTGGGTCGAGTTAGAATCGCACTGGATTATGGAACTGTTTTAGGGGACAAAATGGACGCACTCTTGGAAATAAGGGTCACAATGCACTGCACTGCCAACTCGACCCAGGTTTTTTTCAACCTCGAGATTGCTAATAGTCCCCTTCACAGTTCCCTGCGCCATCTTGAAAGGTAGCCGTGCCTTTGCATCGAAGCGAGACGAACGGTGAGCTTGCAATGATAGAGACATGCGAATAATCGTTCAAGGTGTTAAAAAAGGTCTCTATCGTTGCAAGCTCACCGTTCGTCTCGCTTCGATGCAAAGGCACGGCTACATTTCAAGATGGCGCAGGGAACTGTGAAGGGGACTATTGAGAAGCACAGTAATGCATTGGTAGGCTGGTATGCATCTTATCTGTATCTATCTATTGAGCCTTCTTGTCAGGTTCTTCACCAGGGACATATTTCATCAGAAGAAACAGCGGGACCACAAAGAATAGGGATCCAACGAGGTAGCACCAAAAGGGACCTGTACTCCAGTATGCTGCAATCATATAAAATGTGAGAATCATTTAAAAAAGATAACTCATTTCATCGGCAACCAGTGTTTCAAGTCGCTGTCATAGTTTTACGATTTTTCTTGCAATTTATCTTCGGAGAGTTTGTAGCGAGACTTCACAAGAAATAACAACACCACACGCATCAAAAATGTGATGCGCATCTTATTTCATTGTTGCAAATGCAATACAATCCACTTTTACTCTTCGCGATGTCATGAGAAACTGCGCGCAGCTCCATCTTTTATTGCGCAAACAATTCTGGAATCATGCAGTACCTGAACAGAACATAAATGGACCAATACCACGCGCCAACGCGCCAAGGGATCTAAAAATACCCATAATCTTGCCCTTTTGATCGTTGGTTCCTGGGAACATAACAGAAAAACAGTTTCCAAATTAGTGGAAAAATAATAAAAAAGTGAAAAAAATGGAATTCGCAATTGACTTTGAAATCGCGCATCCCAACTGGCCAATGCTAGTGTAAAGTTGAGCCATTTCAGAGTCGAAGTAACGTTTCCTCCGAACATGTGGGAGCATAACTGAATTATTAAGTGTTGAAAATAGAATAAAAAACTCGGCGACTTTTTATACACATCTTTTGTGGTGATTTGAGTGGCGAATTCTGCTGGGACTTCACTGAAACCCATTATATTGTACGTGTAAACTAACGGCCATTTGAAATGAAGACAAAAGGGGTGTATATTTGCCTTACCATATTTAGAAATCAATGATGTCAGACATGGGACCACAGTAGCTGAACCTGTTAGGAACAAAGTATTAGCCTATATTTTTGATTATCTCCTGAAGAATTGCTAAAAATTCTCTCTCATTTTACACTGAAATATTATAGATCAGTTCTGTTAAGACGCCTTTTCGCGCAAACAAATAAGAAAGTCCCATTATTTATTGACCAATAATTGTGGCCTTGGTAATAGATTACTTTACCTAGTTCATAATGTTTTCCCATTTCAGACCATGTGTCATTCCCTAGAGTATCATTTCTTTGTTTAACAATTGCACATAAATATACACATGAATATGGATGCAACTCAAACAAAAAAAACTTTTCTCTAGAGAATGGCACGTGTTCAGAAATGGAAAAACATTACGCCCAAGCAAAAGAGATTTACTCAGTATTGGTCATGTACTGGCCTTGCTGTCTCTACCAAGGGGAAGCTAGAGGAAATCAATGGATACTTCATGAAAATCTCAAGTTAATACATACCAAAAGAGAACAAAGTTAGCCCAGAGTACAAGACAAAAGGTGTAGTAGCCACCCCTACTAAGGCCATACCAGGCATCATGGCTATCATACCCTAGACGAATCAACAACCAAGATTACAATCTAAGCACTCTATATAGAGGTTTAGCACCATCACATGTCCATGCCCATAATAAAGCTTGGGCTGCCTGTGCTTAGATGGCAGAACAATAGAATCATTTCACACTTKGGAATTGAATTCTTTCTCATGCAAAACGTATTGTTCCTGCCACCTAACATGGCTGCCCTCAGGTGATGGTGCAAAACCACTAAATAAAGCATTTACAGTTACATTCTAATTTTTGAAAACTCTATTCTATTCTAGTTAAGGATCTCTGAAAATCTTGGGCATAAAAATGTAAATAGAATATAAATCTTATACACATATAGATGATTTCCAGGGGGAGGAACACATTTGACGACTGTGTGTGTGTGTGTGTGTGTGTGTGTGTGTGTGTGTGTGTGTGTGTATGGGAGGGCAGGGGGGTGCAAACTCTAAACACATCAACTCATAGCATGGTGCATTTTGATGTAACCCATTGGTATATGAGAAGACAACCAGAAAATTTATTGTTCAAGGTCATGTAGTATAAATACCCATCATGGGCAAATTGGCAAGGGTGAAAGTTCTATTTTGAATTTTGGTTTGTGCACAGAGAAGAAAGTCTACCTAAAGCAAGGGTAGTCTCCCCCACAGCCGCTTTCAGTGTCGTCACGTCACGTTATCCCCAGGGGAGAAAGCGTTGCGTGACGACACTGAAAGCGGCTGTGGGGGAGACTAAAGCAAGGGTGGATCCAGCCAAATTTTTAGGAGGGGGCTAATTGAGTTTAGGGGGGGCTAATTGAGTTTAGGGGGGACTAATTGAGTTTAGGAGGGGGCTAATAGACCAGTTTCGAATTCCAAATTACCGCTGTGTTCCTTGATTACAGACTCATCTGCACAGGGTTAGCCTTGTATCAGTGTTTAAATATTCACAAATACCAACAGAAAAGTAAAGAATGCACAACTTCAACAATACAAACATTTTGAAACTCGACGGACCTTGACTGGAACACGTGAATATTCTGCACAAACTCGAGGCTAACCCTGTGCAAATGAGTCTGTAATCAAGAAACACAGYGGTAATTTGGAATTCGAAAAGGGTCTATTGAGTTTAGGGGGGGCTAATTGAGTTTCATCCGTCAACACAACGGAAAACAATAAAAAAAAGTATCTAATTCTTCAGTTGTTTTTTTTTTCTGCTGAAGGGGGACTTCAGCCCCCCTTTTCCCCTCTTGGATCCACCCTTGTAAAGAGGTTTCTTACACTTATCGAAAATGTTAGTACTTAAGACTGCTCTCTCACACCTTGACGGCTGTTTTCTTTTCTGAGCCTTCAGCTAGTCTCCTCACGTAGCCACCTGGAATTATAAGGCATTAGGAATCATAAAGATTAATATAACTGAATGTTTTACTTAAATAAACTGCTTCGAAAATTGAGTAGTGAAATCCAAAAGACAGCAGGAGATAGGGAGGAACACCCTTCTTTTTGCTCCCCAATGCAAAATTTCTCAGCTGGCATCTTTCTATCCTGAATTTCCTTAACATGTCACTTCACACGTTATGTAAACAGGAAACACATTATTACCTTGAACTGTTGCCATGACAACACCAATAAAGAAGAACATCATTCCTTGTTTCATGCTGCAACAGGTTCATTGTAGACAAAAGGTTTACTTTGAGTTGTCATGATTCAACATTTCACATCAGTTCTTGTCACCCTCCCCTCTCCCCCTTTCAAATAGTGAGGGAGAAAAATATGTAACAGTCTGTTCTGATTTGCAGCTCTTTTTCTTAATGGTAACATTAACATTTTATGGGGAACCCCCTTTCTCTTATAATATTCCCCTCACCCTCTCCTCAAAAGAGAGAAAACATATTTACATAGTCTGTCATGAGTTGCAGCTAATTTATTTGATTAACGGTAACAAGCTTCTTCTGGGGAATCCCCCTTTCCTTAAATCTACCCCTCCCCTCTCCCCAAATTGAGAGACAAAGCATTCCTTTACCTCCAATAAATCTTACCTTGTGTATTGGAAATTTTTGTGCATGAGAAAGGTTAGAGTGAATTCCAGTCCAGAAAAAAAGAACAAGAACAAGAAATAGACTAGGCCAAGGAAACGAACTGTTTTCAAATCTATAATAATAATAATAATAATAATAATWAACTTTGTTTATAGAGGATAACACTTGACAGTAATTCAACTGATAAACTTGCGGTCCTCTTTTAAAGTCTCTAGTTAATTAGGGATGGGACCGCCATTAACGTGATCATCCGAGCCACGTCAAGGTCTAACCATTTGCAGATGTAATTACAAAGGCAGCACCTTCTCCTCAGTTATTTTAAGACCCTGAGTGTTGGTCCAGCCGAGGCTTGAACCACGACCTCCCGCACAACAGACCGACGCTCTTACCAACTGAGCTAACTGGGTGGCAGTAAATGTAGAAAAACAAGATGATCCAGATATTAAGACCAAAAACGTACAATACTAACACTTTTAGATAGTATCTTCAAACTAAATAGAAATGGCCTTTGTAACCACCTCTAGGGGGAGAAATAAGGGAAAGAGTATTCCTTCACTCAATCCCCCCTACTCCTTCCTTTCCAAAATTCCTCTGACTAAACGTTGTGCACAGTAGTGTTTTCAGAGTCAAGGACGAAGGGCTAAAATGAAAATTAGGTTATATTCAAAAATAGAAAGGTCTCGACTGCAGGTATGCCTTGTTTTTCTCATATTTTTGAATATGAGAATTTAGTTTTATAATAATTGTGAGTATTTTTGCATTATTTTGAAGTAGGTAAAACCAAATGCAATATTTTGAAGATATAATAGAAGGAAATGAAAAAAAAAAACCTTAATTAGATAACAATTTTTTTTWAAAAACTTGCCTGATGAACTAGATCGCTCAAGAGCACTGAATTTGAAGAGTGATACAGGGTTGATGTAATGAAAAGCCTTCCTGCACTCTGCCACCATGGACACTGCCTGCAAAAATGAAAGTACAGTCCGTTTTCTGCAGATTTTTTATAGGAAGCTTAAAGAAGCAAATACTGAGTAATTATGATTTTTTATGGACTTTTCTTGTATGGCAACCAAGTTGATCATGATAAAAATAAATAAATAAATATAAAAATACAAATAAAATTAAAAAATAAAAGATAAAAAATTAAAAATAAACAAAATAAATTAAATAAATTAAATAAAAATTTTAAAAAAACACATGCTGGCTGGAAGACAATTTTTTGTCCTGGTAGAAGACAGGATGTGTCTACCATTCAGGCACCATAAATAAGGCCTTGTTACCATGGAAATAAAGAAAAGTTATGCATGGGGAATAGCCATGGTCTATGGTCTAGCCACTTCAGTGCTTCTCCTCCTCTTCCTATTTCCTCTCCCAAATCATCTCCCCTATCCGACTACCTCCCCCACTTAAACCCCCAAGGTTCCCCAAAACTCCACCCCTTTGGGCCACAACACTACACTAAAATTTGTCGTACATCTCCTTGAGAGTTACAGTAATTCAATAAATTACAATCTTTACCCTTTTTTCTTGAGGCAATGTGTCTTTAAAGAAGCAGAGAACAAATAAAATATCCACAAAGCTCAGGACAGCTGCAAAGATGGCTGGTAGGTAGTAGAAGTGACCACCTTTCAGAGATGACTGAGTTGCAAAGACTGCACCAATAGTTGGACCAACAATAAAACCAATGGAATATGCTATACCAATAAGAGCCTGGGGGRAAAAAACAACTATGAATCGCTATTCTGGTAATAAAGAAAATGAGAGTAAGTTAGTATACTAGGCACTGTATAATTAAGCCATGCAACATGAAAGAAATCAACTCAAAGATATAATCAGAAACCAAAAAGCCAGAGATATCAAGTATCAATGGAAATAGAATGAACTAAGAAAAATCAGCTGAGGCACTGTGAAAGATTGAATGGCTAATTGAAATTTTTTATTTAAAATGTAAAAATTTATTCAACTTTACTATAACTCTGAGGTGGACGGAAAGCCTTACACTGTCTAGGACCCAATAGATTGAATTAGAATTTACAAGGTGATATAAATTTATGAAGGGAGAAAAACCGGAGAACCTGGAGAAAAACCCTCTAAGCACAAGAAAGAACCAACAAACAACTCCACCCACACACAACATCCATCCCAGCAGGGCTCAAACCCAGGTCGCATTGTTGAGAGGTGACAGACCAGTGAGCTTATTGTTATTGCAACCTGTGCTTCCAGAGACCAACTAACTGAACTAATCAAACTTAACTAATATTTTAAAGTCTCTACTGCTACAAGTACTACAGACATGCGACACTGATTGACATACCATTCCTTTACTTCTAGTTTTTGATGATGTAACATCAGTAACTGCAGCAGTACAAATTGTAACGTTGCCTTTGCTCAATCCACCAATAAACCTAGCAATTACAAACATTGTGAAGTTCTGGGATAGTGCCCATATAACGTAAGACACTAAAACACCAAACTGAAAGAAAACAAATAAGACAAATAGTTTGAACAGTTTACCTATTTCAGGCCAGGTGTCATTCCCTTGAGAATAAGTGACTGTCCATTTTTTACCNGGGATTTGAGGGGGGATCATAAGGGACCATAAAAATAATCAGACTCATGAGGGGGAGGGGGGGGTGGCACAAAAAATAATTCAAATCACACAGTACTTTTACAATTACAGTACAACACACAAAAGTACAACCACATTTAACGTATTTGCATACTTCTATGCACAGTCTTTTTCCTGTCAAACAAGTGTTAGCACACTTTTTTGGGTAAAACCAGCCAGCTTGGCATTGAAATGCGTCAGTTTAATTATAATATGCAAGTGTCCGTGATTATGCAAAGACATTAAATGTAGTCATACATTTGGACGTCCTGTTGTAACAATATTGGGGGAAAACAATAATTATTCACTGGAGGTCAGGTTTTTTATTGGTTACCAAGCAAATTCCCTTGGTCCCTAATAAAAAATGAATGTGGTTCTTAATTCCTGGGTCCTGCTATTCTTGGATCCTGCTGTAGTATTGCTTGGTGTTGCTTTTTGATATCAAAAAATCCAAAAAAATTCAGTCAATTACCATGGAAATTAGCAATGTAGGTTTTCTTCCATACAAGTCAGACAAAGCACCAATAAGTGGACAGCAAAAGAATTGGAGCAGTGAGAATAACGAGCCTATAATTCCTGCAAAAAAAGATTGATATAACCTTTAAATAAATTTATAAGTAACGTTTTTTTACAATACTTAATAGATTAAATCCACAAATTGTGGATTACCATATTTCATTAACAAAAGTTTTCATGATTATTCTCAATTCTTCTTTTTTTTCAATATTACCTCCAAATAAAACTGCATTAAATCTACCAACTTCAGGCATTCCCATCAAGTTCTTAAATGTATTGACTTTCTTCATCATTGTGTTGTAGAGGACATCCTGTATAAAGTAAATTAACATTTTATGAAATACAAATAATTCAATAGCCGTGTGAACAAAGCAGATGAAAAAAAAAAAGCTAATAAAACATTTCTATATAAAAAATGATGGTTTTCATTCACAAAAATAGTAATTTCTAAGGTGTTGGTGGTTTGAAAGAGAGAAATAAGTGTTAATGTTTCAAAAGGAACAATTTTTATTGTACAATTCATTATTGAATTTTCACAAGTTAGCTGCACTTATTGAGGTTCCAGTAAATTAATTATTTTATATATTTTTTCTTGATTTTTGGCTGCTAGATTTATTAGTAGTCACTATTCTTTCTGATAAAGGTTAATTAAGGGCAAAATGATTTGTTTTAAAAAATGTTTTAAAGATATTTATGAAAACATTGCTATCTGCCGCTTAATGGTTCAAAATGAAAGCAATGTGAACAGGACAGTGTTTTGATAAATAACTATTAGCCATAACATAAAATATCATTTGAGTGAGTGGGTGACTGAGTTTCAATCTGATAACCCTAGTAGAGATACAGCCTATATTTGTGTAATGCAAGAGGCTAGGGTGTTGGTTGGAGGGGGCTTATCTGAATTAGATTATTGGGAAGGATCAATGGAATTCTTTGTTGATTCTGTGTTTTCCACAACAGAAAAAGGGGGGTGCAATTTGAAGGGAAAAAATCTACTAAAGTGCTAAAACTGGTGAATTTTTCAGCCACCCCCAGCCCCTCCCCTAACAATGAACAATGAATGGTCTCCTATTATGTATAAATCCAACCTTTCAGGATAATTAACCCAAATTCAAATAATAGAAATAAGTATTCGTAAATTTTTAGAAGAATTAGTAAAGGCCAGAAATATTTAAATTATGGGTCATAAAAACAGTCAATCATGACATAACGAGCTTATTTTATCAGGACATTAATATCTCTAGCTTACCTCTTCCTGTTTTCCATAGAACTCAAGAAGAGACGGCAAAAGCGGTAAAATAACTGTAAAAGCTAACAAATCTATGACTAGTGAAGTAAAAATCGTCAGAAAAACTTTGTTATCACTTTGAGTTTGTTCTTTTGCCTGCGATGAGTTGGTTGTCTTCGGTTGAATGTTTTCAAAACGATTTGAGCTGCTTCGCTCTTTTAGCTTAGGTTCGTTCTTGTTTGAATCCATATTATCAATAAAAACTCTAAGACTGCAATGCCAAGGCACTAAAAACGATGTTTGAGGATCTTTTAAGCAGAATAATTGTGGGAACTCATGCTCAAAAAAATTTAACAAGAATAAAAATTGAGCATTCGATTGAGTTCTTCAACCAGTCCTTTCTTTCTCGCAGATCTTTCAAGCTCGTAAAACCTACTTAAACATGAAAAGATATTCACTGTTATTTCTTCTATAGCGTAATAATGGCATTAAACTCCAAGTCCAACCGGGTTTTTTTTACAAACAAGACCACAAGAGCGCAAAAGGCCAAATAGCCTAAAAGTTTTCGCCAAAGTGCTTGTAAGTTCAACCACCGCTGGGAAACTGGAAATGACGGCCCGGAAGTGACGTCATGCTTAACATCCGGTTTAAATATTGATCAATCAATATTTGAATCAATCAGAGTAGCCTGGAACTACTGACTCTTTTCTGATCGCCTCTTCTTTCTTTTTGAAGGCGCATGCCTATCGAATCTCCTCAAATCTCCCCCCCCCCCCACCCCTCCCAACACACACACACTAACACATAGGAAATCGTACCTCTCCTTAGTGGTCTTGATATTTTTTTAATTTAAAAGCGGATATAAATTTTAATCAATATACTCTCTTTCAATATATGTAAATTGCATCCAAGTCAACAACTATAAAATAATTATATACTTTGGTTTTTTTCATATACCAAAAAAAAAAGAAAAAAAGAAAAAAGAAAAAGAAAAAACGAACAAAAACAAACAAACAAAMAAAAAAAACAGGTGGCTTGCGGGCGTGTCCGGTGCACATTATGATAAAAAGATTTTTCTTGTATAATCTCTCACTCCAAAGCTTTTTTCATGCATCAGTCTCACTAACAATTTACCGGATAAACCTTCGCTAAGATCAATTTTCAAATACAATTGACAGAAGGCTGGAAATTTGTCTCGAAAGAAAACTGCCTGCTTCAGCCTAATAAATGAGACAAGCGTGTGGAGTGCCTTTGGCTCTATGGGTGGCCTTGTAGGGTCAGCTCTTTAAAATCTTTTTTTTTTCCTTCTTTACCTATAAACAGAAGACTGCTACTTTGGCCAAGAGAGGACCAGCTAGCTTTGACCTTGAAAAACCGCTTCATCTTTTTTTGCGCATAGGAACAGGGTGAACATTTGACACTTCCTTCCTGCCCTCCCCTCCCCTCCCTTCCTTACAATACCGGCAATAAATGTCGTTGAGCAGCATACGCACTTATAACTACATTACGCCTTTCCTGTTAACTATCATTTCTCAGTTTCATGTTTCCGGGTTTTTCCCTTTTCTTTGTTTGTAAGTTGATGTGTCAAAGAGTCTCCTGTCGGCTGTGGTAAAATAAAGTAAAATACCCATGAAACATTGCGGCCGTGATTGCCGGTCACAACAGAAGTCGGTTCGACCAAAGCTAAGCTGTAGAAGGCAGTCCAAGCGTCAAGTGGCACAAAAAAACACTCCATTTGCCCCCAATTTTTTTATTCCTAACACCAGACACCACAATGTATGAAAGCGTTAACACCAATACTTAACCATGGAAGACCAAATAGTTCCTCTACTCTTAATAACAGCAAATGTTGGATCACTTTTTGAGGACGTGAGTACAACTCGTTTAGTATGTTGGTGGCACATTTGAAGCAAGTATGATATTTTCAGTGAGTGTCCAGTGGTATTTACAGCTACTCGATATCCCTGTGAACCTCGTATGATTGTTCGTTATTCACTCTGCTTCCTGTTCTCTCTCATGGACTTAAGAGAGAGTTGAAAAATAACATGTATCAGGTTCAAATCTGGTCAACCGCTTCAGGTTCATACTTGCAAATTGTGTTTACATTGGAACAGCTTCGCATACTATTTGACTTTACCACCGGGTAGAATTCAATGTTAAACTTTACTATGAATTAATGTTAACCAAAGACGAAAGTAAATTACTTCAGTTGCTTTTGCATGTAATTCAGAAGGGGTATTATATTTTTTTTCCTCCTAATTTCCAGCGTCAAAATATAGAGAGTATTTGGATTGGGCAGCTAATACAAGTAAGTACTTGGCCAGTCGGTAAAATTACTGCGTTGACAAGTATTTTATTTGATTAAAGTACGTTAGAATCTTGGATTATAATATTCTTGTATTTTTTGTTTTCACTTTCTAGACCATCACCCAATTTGAACCTGGATGTATAGCGTTGCATTTACAAGAATGTGGTGGGAAACTTGCGGGTGCAGAGGGAGAAGAAGAAGTTAGAAGCTTCATAAGGTATATGAATAAATCATCGCTAAAGCCTTGATTTAGGACCGTTTCTGAATTTGATTTGCAAATGAAGCATTTCCCGTTTGAATTCGCCTTTGATTGTGTCTTTTTACTTTTTATTCCATTTAAATACTATAAATTATTCGCCTGTGGCTCGACTCGTGGTTCCTACTGTGCTTTGTCTTGAAGGGGATGAGCCGTCATTTCAGTTTTCTCATTTTTATTCTCCAGAGTCCTTTTTAGCAATAACGAAATAACACAAAGATTTGAAGTCAGGTGTGCTTGGATTGATCAAGATTACAAAAAGCAAGAACAATTCACGGTTAGTCAATCTTATAAAATACTATTTGTTCTGGCTTGACAAATGTTGACAGTTTCTGATAGTATTTTCGCTTCTTGAATATCTCATATTCTGGACATTTTTTCCTTTTTCAATGTTTTCTTTCCTAATTATTATCTACACTAAAATGCAAAATACAAAACCATTAGTTTAATCTCTCAGGATTTAGCGTTGTCGGTGGTCGATATTTCCATATTATTGAAAAGATTTGGAAAGCCATTTTAYTGATGTAATCATATGTCAGTACATTTGAATGGCTTTTGTGAAAAATATCATGAATCTTTAATATTGCAGCAGCAATTAGGACAAGAATAACAAGAAAAATAAAATTAAAAAATATACATCGGGTCCTCTGCCTGTTGTTCTTAGTATTTTATTTTATTTTCCTCTTGCTTATGTTTCTCTTTTGAGGAATTCCCAAAAGACTGCTATATTTTTGAATATCAGAATTGAACATGTAGAAGAATTGTACTGTATGGAATTTAAATTATTACAAACTGTTACATTACACTCAATTGTATTAAAAAGATTTATGTGCAAAATGTTTAAATCATTAATATTTTCTAATTTAACACCTTATTCAAAACTAAAAGTGCATTCATGGCTTGAAGGGCTTAAATGTGACAAGTATTTCAAGTCAAGAGTTTATTTATTTATTTATTTATTTATTAGTGACTTCCATGCAGATTACATAAATAAAAAAATGGAATCCAAAGAGAGCGGATACATGTAAACTACATGAGGGGCAGAGCAAATGGACTCGTAGTCCTAACGAGGCTAGCCCCAATAAAAAAAAGCAAAATAATAACTAAGTAAAAGTTGATAGGTAAAAAGTCATCTAATAACCATATATATTTTTGGTTCCAAAACAATTTCAATATCTTCTGAGTGAAGTTTCTCTGATGTTTAATCAGAAAAGAGCACAATAGTTTGCTGTAATCCATATCTTCTTAACTTTTCAAGTTGTCCACCACTAAGTCATATACAATAAATTGTTTTACTCGTTGCATATGGATACAAGTGACTATATAGTGGAGTTGAGATCTGCATATTTGGCTTCCTGTCGCCTTCCCTGACTAGTTCAAAATTATAGTGTTGATAGATAGATTATATTTATCTTATTATCCTTTTTCATTACAATGCCCACTGAAAAAGTACTATTAGTGATCCACCTGGAAGAAATGTTTTTGGCAAAAATGTACATAGCCTTTCTAGAGAGCAAACAAACCAGGTTTTATGGTTGGTTTTTTATGTCAGTTTTAGTACATATTTGTTTCTTTTCCTTTAGATTTTTGTAAAAGAGCTTGATTTTTTTAAAAAGCTGAGTAAAGATAACATTAAATTCATTCAGGTCCTTTATGACTATTCTGGCAAAGTTCTAGCTCCACTGTTAGTTGAAGGAATAAATACTTATGAGGACGTTTTTGGTAACCCACTGTTGTGGCAAATAAAACACTAATGCAAGAACCATATTGAGATCTAGATAAATGATGGCTCATCTTTAGCTTTGCAGGGGTATTTTATGTAAATAGCTTACATGTTCTTGTGTCTTTATAAATAACCAACATAAGAATCACCATGGTAATGTCCAAGCATAGAAACAGTAAATAACTGTTATCACAATAAGATTTCTCTTGCCTTTAAGATGCATTAGAGCTATCTTTTCTCACCATCTATTAATTCAAACACCTGTTTTGCCTCATTAAACAAGTCTGCCATTTCTAYAGCATGATTGAATTTGATAAGTGGATGGTTTTTGTGGGTCTTTTACATGATCAAAACAACAAAGAATATTTCTCTAAAAAATATTGACTTTCTAACACATTTTTTTCCAGTTACTTATTTTTGAGTTGATAAAATTTCTAGGGGTTGTTTTGATAAAAAAATAGACATAATACTATTTGATAAAATAATTTTAATGGATTCATATAACTGTTGAATTTTATTGAAAACATTTACATTTTATTGAAAACATTTACTTTTACTTTATCACATTAGATTATACCCTTAGGGCACAAGTGCAATCTAAGGATCATTAATAAGTTATTTTTTCACAGTACACTTATTTATAATGCAAATATAGATAGATGAGGCAGTAAGCCCTGCGGGATGGGCTCGGATATCAAATAAGAACATGGGTAATAGGTAAATTATGAACCTTAGATGAAACAACTGAAGAAGAGTGCCATACAAGCCTTTCACAACTTCAAGTCGCATACAAAATGAGCCAGCTGAACTAGAAACTGTAAGCAGCTGTTTCAGCCTGTATTGGGCCTCATCAGCAGGGTGTATCTAGTGAGCKGGTAATCCCATGAAAAAGTAGTACTAGATAGATAAGGCAGTAAGCYGTGTGGGATGGCTGGGATATGAAATAATGCAGAAAGATTACAATAGAATACCTAAAGTAGCAAGAGGACTGTACACTGTAATAGTTTATTTGTTTGCTCATTATTTCAGGCCTTGGGATGTATTTACTTAGTAAAAAAGTCTGTTAAGAATGTCTCACTTTGGAACTTTAAAGGTAAAAAATTATGTAAACATCTAGCTTTTAAGAAATTAGACAGTCTATGTTCTTGAACTAATATTTAAAATAATTTTAACAATATGTTTTATAAATATTTTATAATTTGAAATATTTAATTTGATTTGAATTTTTGTCTTGATGGTTTAGAAAAAGTTAAGTTTTTCAGAACTCTTCCTCCACAAAACATAAAACCCAGTTGTTACAAGTAACTTTGATTAGAGTTAATATCAGGCTTCCGCTACCCTGACCCATTTTTGCTGCAAGAAAGTCTTCTGCTATTATATCTGGCTGTATTATAATGGCTGTTTCTTTTTTTACACTAGAATCAAAGTTTGAAGAACTAGACGGTGAATCTGTCTCTGTTGGAGATTTAAAGGAAGTGGTATTGCTTGAAAAAAAAAAGTTTCCAAAAGAGTTTTTCCCTCAGGTAAATTAAACCAAATGAAATCTCTATTTTAAAAATAAAAAACAACTTGAAACAGCAGAACTAAAATGTATTTGTATCTYGTAGTGTAAGTGGTCCCGGAAAGGCTATGCGAGAACGAGATGGAAAATCAACGACTGGTAAAAATATTTTCCTAATAGTTGGGCTACCTGTGTAATTTACCACAGGAACTCCAATAAAGAATGAAAATTAAGTTTTGAATAATTGTTTGTCTTAGTGTTTTTGATCTTCTAAACATTCATCTCTTCCATGATGCATCAAATCTAGAAGCTATTAAACTGGTGAGTTAAAAAGCTCAATATCTATAAGCTTTGATTATAAACTGAATATTTATCCATAAATTATTATTATTATCATTATTATTAATTCTCAAAATTGTTGTTTTTAGTCACCATCACAGTATTGTAAAAACAGACAGAGAGCTCTTGCTCATGTTGTAGACAAGTAAGCAGATCCTCAAAATAATTATCATTTTATGACTACCCCCTGCCCCCCAAAAAAACTTCAAACTTTAGCAAACCCTGAAACCACCTTTGGGCTGATCAATGTCAGTCAATTTTTATCAGAAAAATGGGGGGATGCACAATTTTTGGAAGAAGCTACAAGCCTTGTTTAGGGGGGATTGTATTTTTTTGCATGACTTTAAGGGGGGTATTAAGAATTATTATCTGGACATTTCAAATTTTAACTTGCCCCCCCTCCTCCACCCTCCACCCCTCCTCTACCTTCCCTCCCCCCCGCCATACATTATGATTGCAGATGGAGAAAAACCAGAGAAAAACCCTTCAATCAAGGGATCAATATCTAACAAACTTCAATTGTGTGATGGCGATCTAACCCTTCATTACATTCTAGATAGTTCTGTTACCTTCAGAATCAAGCCACCGCTATGCCACCCTAAGTTTTATAGCATGCAATGCTTGTTTCCTTAACTTGTTTTATTTCCTTGATTTCAGATTAAATAATGGGCCTTTGCCGAAAGAGCCTGCCATGATTTTTGGTGATTTCAATTTCAGACTGGATACAAAGTCTGTCGTAGAGGTATGAAACATTAATTTTGAAAAAAAAGGGGTTTAATAATGTTAACCTTGTTCGTGACACCAAAATACAGTAGAATATACTGATACAAGCATAAGCTTCCAACTTAAATAGAGAGTCCTAATCTATGATCCATAACCATTGACTCAGTAGCAAATTCAGAACAATTTCAAGGGGGTTGGCTGTTACCTAGAAAGGCTGGTCTTATAGAGCCCTTTTTAGGTCGTACCTTATGCTTTTTTCTTATTATTTCAACTCCAAAGGGGTGCTAGCCACCTAATTGACCCCTCTGTATCCACCCTGGCCTGTGTCTCCCTAACCAAGCACAGTTTACTCCCACAATCATTTCTCATTTCATCTTTAATTTCAAACTTTTTCAGTAAATATGAGGCAGTTTTTTTAAATATCTTACTCTTACTCTTTGAATCTTTGAATTTCTTCAATTTTTTTYCCCTAACTTTTAAAAACTCAGAATTTTGTAATTTGAGCATTTTAATGTTCACATTTGTATTCCTTTTTAGTCTCTTTGTGCTGGGTTGCATTCACAACATGTCAGGAAGGATGGTGAAAATTGTCCTTTTAAGATAATTTATAGAGATGCAAAGTCTTCAGATAAGGTATGATTGCATAATAAATAAATTAGTGTATGAATTTACAGCAGGTTTGCCCTTCATTACATTCTAGATAATTCTGTTACTGTGATTCTTTAATTTGCATTTTTTTAAAGCCAGTAATCCCATTAATGGAATCGATGTATTCCTCTTTAATTTGTGCATTATTTAATATACATGTAAACAGTGGGTTTAACATATTCAGGGGACCATGTAGCCAGATCTCAGCCCTAGGGCAAATTAGGATATTCCCATGCGAT